TCATTCCTAGGACTGGTCTGTGAATCTGTTGTTGGACACATGGAAAATGCCTGGCATGCGGAAGGTGCTGTATGAGTAGGCTATTATATTCTGGGTAAAGCATTCCATAATGGACTATTCATCCAATTCAAACAGTATCTTTACATGGACATGTTAAAGGATTTGATTTCAAATGTGTCTTCAGACATTTTTATGAGGTCTACAGCATGCAAAGAATGACCCATCTAAGTAGTTAAGATCTTCCTCAACATATCTCTGTTTTTACATTAAGATAATTTTTTGAGCGGTTTTAGGTTTACAGCAAGATTGAAAGGGAGGCACCGAGAGTTCCCACATACTCCTTCCTCATACAGGTAGCCTCTCTCAGCGTCCAAATCCCCCTGCCCAAGAGGTACCTTGGTTACAGTGGATCAGCCCACATGAACACCTCATAGTCACCCAAAGTCTGCAGTTTACATCGGGTTTATGCTTGGTGTACGTCCATGTCCTTGTACATTTATCTCATACATAATGACGTGTGCCCATCACTGTGGGTCATCACAGCCCTGAACGTCCTCCGTGCTTCATCTCTCCCCTGGCAACCACTGCTCTGCTGACTGACTCCACAGTTTTGCCTTTTCTGGGTGCCATGTAGTTGGAATCATACAGTCTGTTGCCCCTGCTTGTCTGCCAGGGGGTGGGCTCGGGGCGCCCCGGGGTTCTTCCTGCGACGCCAGCACATCCGAGAGGAGAAACCTCTCTGGGAACACAAGGAAGGGAAGGGCTGGACCCATGGCGCTACCTGCCCCGCACTCCACATGGGCGGCTTATAAATAGAACTCAGCTCTCCAGGGGCCGCCGTGGGACTGGAGTGGGAACATGATCCTTGGATATTACATGCGCTGAGTACTTAGCTCCTACGCGGTCAGAGCTTTAATTTCTTTTTTCCGAGTAGACCCTTAGGACTCTGACCGCTAAGTGTCAATTAAGTTGTTTCCAGTGACAGCCTGCTCGATGGTTTGAATTCTGAGCTGTGCCTGAGTGCACAGCCCTTCCTGAGGGAGGGTGACGGGGGTAGGACATCAGTGTCTGACGGCAGAGGACTCGGGGACACCAGTCCATCTCCCTCAGGCCTAGAACCCAGGGCTTGCAGGACCCTCACCCATGGGCCCAGGATGTGTCTCCTTCCCGCCTTGAGGCTGGGCTTTCTTGTGGCAGAGTCCATAGGATCTCGTGCTTGGAGTGTTCTGGTCCAGCCCCTGCTCACAGCAGAAGTGCCCTTTAGTGACTCCCGCCTTGGGAAGAAGCATTTGACTTTAGAGTCACTGTGGCCGTGGGCTCCGTCCCAGCCTTGGGGTGCCTCACTGTAATTTCGTGTATTCCTCTCCCCTAACTCAGCCTCCATCCTAACCTCTCTCTGGCCCCCAGCCTTTCTCTTTCCCCTGCAGAATCCAAAGTTGTTTCCCCAGTCTTATCTGCCCTCCCCGTGACTTGACCTAACTTCCCCCTCTAAAAAGGTTTTGATACCATTTTGTATTCATAGAGTTCTGTCTGTGTATCCTTAAGTATGGCGTTATTTCTTTTTCAGAAGTATTTTCTTTTTTTTTTTTAGCGTTGCATCCAAGATTCTTTTTCATTATTCTGCCTAGCCTGTCGCCTAGTTATTAACTCTGTCCATGGTCCTAACACAAACATTTTGGTTGAACAAATTCTCAATTAAAAATCCTTGGTGTCCCCATCCTCTAGCTTAGTTAAAAACACAACAGTAGTAGGTGATCTGGGTTGTGAGAGGGCGTTGAAAATATAATTAGAGGCTAGACAGGCACAGGCAGGCAAGAAGCAGTAGATTGATGATCCCATTAGGGAACCGAATGTATTCTACTGACACACCCAAATTTTCGGATGCTTTGTCACTGGAGGAGGAAACGGCAGAGGGACTTAATGGTGTGTGCAGAGAGGGCATCCTTCCTACTGGGTCTGAGCCACACTGCCCCTCCCTCTTGTTTGGAGACAGCGCTGTGGGTAGGGGCTTCAGCGTGAATGGTCCCCAACTCTCTGTCCTCTCTCGGGAGTGCCCCGTTCAGGGAAGTAGAGTTTGCCTGTCTGAGGCGTGGGACCCCTGTGCTCGGACCCCTTCTCCTGGGCGAGCCCCAGAGACTGGCACAGGGCAGAGACCACCACGGCCGATGTGTGGGGAGTAAATTGCACACCAGACCCTGGGCTCAGCTGTATGGTCCACTCTATGTGAGACTATGCGCTAGCCCTTGCCGGGCTGTCCTCTTGACACACGCCAGGTGCTGGCCGGCCCATCCAAGCCCCTGCCTCTGAGATGGACCACCAAGGGCTTCTGTTCTGGAGGGGAGACCTGTCAAGTTGTATGGTGAATGCTGTGAAGGTAGGTGGTCAGGGAAGGGCTCCCGAAGTGACGTTTCAGCGAGGAAGCTGAGGACACCTGGTTCGTGTCTGTCTCTTCGACGAGGCCAGGTTTGTTAGGGGAGTTCACTCAGGGGTGCTTTATTATTCAGCAAAGGGTATAAGCATGACAGGGATGTCACGGCCCTGCCCAGAGGGAAATCGCGCAGCAGACGGGAGCCCGTGTTCGCATGTGGGCTGGGGTCGCACTGGGCTTGTCACCTGGTTTTCCAGCTTGCAGGTTTGGCTTCTTTAAAATGGGAAGACCTATGAATCCCAAGCAAGCGATACATGGCTAAGGGTTTTGTACACCGTTCGACCAGGATGTAAATAGGTGATTAATTACATTGAAAAACAGTCAACGACAAGCCTCCTTAAGGCAGAAGATGATTGAGTACCAGGAACTGAGTTGTGAGATCAAGGAAGAGAAGATCGGTTTGAGCTGGGCTAGCTTCAGGCTCCTGCAAAGTCGGAAAGAATAAAGAATGAAGCCCCGGGGGTCCCGCCAGAATGGGGAGGGGAGATGCCACTGTGGTTTGATGGGACATTTTTGCAGGAGAAAGGTTTAGAGCAATTAGATCTTGCCTCCCGGGTGTCACAGATGGGGATGCTGTGTGAACCGGGAGTACCTGTACGTGCAGGTGCTGCTGGCTGAGTCTTCTCTGGAAGCTGGCAATGGCTGGGCTCCTTACGCAGAATTCTGTCTCCTGCCTGAGGCACAGACCTTCAAGGGGCTGTTCCTGTTTGGGGTAGTGGTACCTTCCTGACAGCAGCCTGAGCCAAGCTGGATACAGAATTCCACACGTTTGGGTGTGACTCTGCGATCCAGTCCTCCTTGTTGCAGGTAGAGAGACTTAAGGTCAGACTCGGGCCTGTGGCAGAGGTCTGTGCTCAGCTTGTCAGCCGCCTGGCCGCCTGGGATGGCTGCCTGTCTGCACAGTTCTCTCAGGAATTGATTTCGAAGGCATTGAGGAGAGAGATGACACCTGTCATGGTCCCCAGGGTCCAGTGGATGTTAAATAAAATTAAGATAACAAAGTAGACGAGAATTGGAAATACAGGCACCCACAGGCTTCTTCAGAGGCCACCTTTCGTGGTAAAGATTTCACAGGAACAGGCAGAGAAGCAGCAGACACTGATGACAGCAGCGACATCCTGGAAATACAAGAGGTCTCAGAAAGCTGCTGCTTGTTCCGTTCTCCGAGTAACAGGTCTCGGGTTCCAAGTACATTTTCAAGCAATTGGTTGTATAGCCAGTTGTGTAAGATCCACTTTTTTTTTTCCATTTTCATCTGTTCAACAGAGTCTGCCATTCACCCGGATTCACTCAGGCCCCTCCCCATTGATGATGGTTTGTGTGAGCACGGACCACACAGCTCTTTGCTGACCTTGAAGAGTGGCTGAAGGTTAAGGTTTCCTTCGCCCAGTTGGCACACTTGCATCTCCCTGGTGCTCCCAGCTCTTTTCTGTCTTTCTCATCCATCTCTAGTTAACATCAACCCCATGGCACCACTTTCCCAGCTTCTTGGCCATTGGCCCGGCCCCTCTGTGCGGATAAACTGCAGCCTACCTGTTGGGTTATTAGCCAGGTAAGGTGGTGGCTGCTCTGCTCATTCTCCTATAACCCGCTCTGCCCAGCAAGCCACAGTGCTGGTGTGAAGAGTTTTTGGCTGGTGCCAGGAGCACTGAGTTCTAAACCTACCTTCCCACATCTCAGTTTCTCCATCTGGAAAAGAGGGGCTGGTTGATCCCTAAGAAGCTGCTAGTCCAACTGTATATATTGAGGATCTATTTTGTGCCAAGCACTGGAGATGGAAAGTGAAGTGCTTGCCTCCTGGCAGTGCGCGTGTGAACCGGAGGCAGATGGCTGAGTGTAGCCCTTACAAGCAACTCGCCTCCCAACCCGTGGCCCAAACATTTGTTCTCAGCTCTCTGCTTGACCATCCATGTTCCTTGAACCTCATCGCCTGCTCTTTCCATTACTCATCTGTCTTCCTGCTGTTTTAAAGGGATAAATATAGATGCATTTCTATCTGACATAGAGTATCTTCTTTCTACCTTCCATTTAGTCCGACTGAAATCCCTCTTATTGCAATTGATAGCTGTTTATCTCGTTTCTGGGAAACTTGAGGCGAGACCTGCCCGGTGGTGACTGGCTGCCCTTTGTGATACATACATATGGACAGAAGTGTTCAAAACTGTCCGCCGACACGCTAGGCTCAGCTACCAGGGGAGAAGAAAGGATCCTTGTTCTTGAAAATATGATAACTTACCCAGCAGCACAAGGTGGACATATTGCAGAAACAAGGGTGAGACTATGCATCTGTACATTCTCAGGGGAGATTTATCTGTTCATGGCGATGACCTAAGGGGCGTTGCATCTAGAGAGAGCCTGGCCGAGTGACCGGCGGGCTGCGCCCCTTCCTGTGGGTCATAAAGAAGGGCATGTGCCATTCGCAAGCCCTTTCAGAACTCCTTTCTTGCTCCCACTTTGCCGATCCTGTCCCTTCCCTTCGTCCCTAAGAGACAGAGACGCTCCTGGTCGGGCTCAGGCCGCAGGCAGCAGCGCCTTCCCACGGCCAGCGCCTGACCAGTGCTTTCCCTTCCAGAGACGAGAAGAACCAGTCCATCATCGTCAGCGGGGAGTCCGGAGCCGGCAAGACGGTGTCCGCCAAGTACGCCATGCGCTATTTCGCCACGGTGGGCGGCTCGGCCAGTGACACCAACATCGAAGAGAAGGTCCTGGCGTCCAGTCCCATCATGGAGGTAAAGCCTTCCAGCGCCCTCAGCCTTCCTGGTCGGAGTCCCTTCCGCCGGCAGCGGGACTGCTGGGTGCCCACCGTGGGTGGCTGCTCACAAGAACCCTTGGGAGCACCCCAGGCGGTCAGCACTCACGTCTCTCACCGAGAGCCTGCTGTCCACTGCCGAGGGAGAAATGGCTTCCATTATTTTGGCTGCTGTGACTAATGCTCCTGTGACCGTGGGCACGCGAGCATCTACCTGAGTTCCTGCTCTGGGAATGATTTTTAAATGACAGTGATCTAAAATTCTGTCTTCAGTATCCGTTATGGCCTGGGTAGGCAGGGTGCTGTGGCATGGGAGACATGTGAGCGCAATATGTTCCCCAAGTACACAGATGGGGTTCAGTTGCTAAGGTCTAAAGGAGGAAGGAGTGTGTACATGAACCAGCCTAATCTTGCTTGATGTCGTGCAAATAAATGCTACAGTCATTTGGGCTCAAAACATTAAATTTCTGCCTTGTGGAGTTGGGACTTGGGAAATTGTGTAAGTCCCGAAGGCTCATTCTGTCAAATGTAGAATTTTACCATCCTTGAGCTGTTATTAAGTGTTAGACTAACACGAGATCCTGGATATGAACTTGGGCAGGAGGAACTCTGGGTGGGGTTAGAGTGTCGCCAACTCGTCATAAGTCTAGAGTCTAGCCGGGTCCTTGTGTCCAGGGAGCCCAGTGGCTCCTCAGAGGGTCATGGCCAAGCCAGGCCCGTCTTAATCAGGGGACAGCCGACTGCTGATGGCTCTGCCCCTCCCGGGGAAGGAGCGCTCCTCCCCACGAAGCAGCGGGCTGTGGTTCTGTCTTCATCTCATGATGTCTACAGCCCAGCCACGGCAGCGCCTCCCGGGGAGACGGGGCGAGAATGGGTGTGAGGAGGCCGCGTTCCCCTGGGGCTGCGCCAAGTGGCAGTTGTTCAAATTAAAAGTGATTCGAGGACGGATTGGCCTGATTCGGTGTCAGCGCAGAGCTCTCTGACCCCGTTCTGTGTAAGAGCTGATCGGCAGCCCGGCAGCGACTTGCTCACGGTCAGCACTGATTAAAGGGCCGCTGGTAATCAGGAGACAGCTAGGGCCGGGCAGAACCCAGCTCAGGCCGACGGGTCCCGTGGCTGCTTGGGGTGACGAGTCTGCTGGCATACAACTGTGGGAGCCTCAGAGGGTACCTCCCCCCAAAAAAAAGAAAAAAAATCCTGGGAGAAAGAAAGGAGGCCAGGGTTTCAGTTAGGGAAATGGATAGAAACTAAGACCAGTTACTATGCACATTCTCAGGGCTTGAATTTTTTTTTCAAAGACAAAGAAACAAGAAAACCTGTAACTATTCCTCTGTATGAGAATCTGCCTCAGCATCCCTTGCTGATCCCGTCTCCTCTTGGCTTCTCTCATGTGTCCACATACTCGAGCCACTTCACACGTGCCCATGCTCTCACATGCCCCTGCTCCTTTGCCCACGCTGTATTTATAGTCAGAACCCCGTCCTCCCCTGGGGGTAAAAGTCTGTCGCCCTCTAACATCCACTTCATTCGACACGTGAAGCTGTTTTCAGTCTGCAGGGCCCGGCTAATGGCTCCCTTCCTTCTGTTCCCACGCTGCCCAGGAGGTACCTGGTTATTGAATAATCTCCGTTACATTGAAATGACACGTTCCAGTCCACTTTTATTTTACTCCATATGTGTGCATGCAAATAAGCCTGTTCCGTGATGTTCCCCATGCAAGGAGCCACATGCTATCCACCATCTCGTGAATGCTTGTCACTCAACGTCTTTTTATTTATCCATGAATCATGCTCCAATGTACTTTGTTGAACAGCTTTATGGCATCCATTGTATGGCTGTTCCACATTTTATGTGTCTCTTCCCCCTATTGGTAGACATTTAGGTTATATATTTTTATTGCCACATGCAGCCTCTAGGTGCTGTGTAGAAGTAGCGGTGATGAGTTGTGAGGGGCATGGGTGTTCAGTTTTATTGATGTGCCCAGACGGTTGTCCCCATTTACATTGAACCAGCCGTGTGCGGACTCGTACAGCCTCATCCTCATTTCATAGTCTCAGAGCCCTTGGTTACTGCCACTCTGGTCTGTCTGTTTAGCCTGCCGCTCTCTGATGACCGCTGAGGCCGTGTGTCTTTTTCTGATGTTCATCAGTCATGTGAGTTTCTTCTGTCATTTCCTGCTTCTATCATTTGCTCCTTTTCCAAGTTTTAACTGCTTGCGTCGTATCTGCCTCTTTTGTTGGACTCTGGGCTCAGTGATGGTCAAAGTTTGGGTTTGTATCATTCATAGCAGTTGGACTGGCTTCCCTCCTGCACCAACATGTTTCCCAGGTCAGTCACCAGAAAAACGCAGCCTGGGTTAAAAGCCAGAGAATGACATGCAAGTTCTTCACACACACAGACGTTGGAAGTTCTTCATTCCCACAGTAGGATTATGGGTTTGGTAGTAATAATACAACCTCTTCCCTGTGTGGGCACCATTTTATACTTCAAAAGTACGTGTAGATCCATCCTGTCACTCCCTGATGCAGCCTGGTGAGGTAAAGCGGGCGAGTCCCTCAGCGGCGATCCCCAGAGTCGGGCAAGCCCTCCTCCTCTTGCACATCTTCGTTTGTTTGTTCTGAACAGGCCATCGGAAATGCCAAAACCACCCGCAATGACAACAGCAGCCGCTTTGGGAAGTACATTCAGATTGGCTTTGACAAGAGGTACCACATCATCGGGGCCAACATGAGGACCTACCTGCTGGAGAAGTCCAGGGTGGTCTTCCAGGTGAGGGGGCGACGGGGCGTCCTGTATGTTTCCCCCCATGGACGCTGAGACTTGCTCCCCGACCCCATGCCCTGCATCCAAAGAGCAACTCGCCCTCTGAGCCTGGAATGGGAGACGCTTATTCTTTTGGTTTTATTTCTCTCCTTCCATCATTAAGTATGCATTCAAGTGCTGCAGGCATCATGCCTGGAAAACATGGCACCAGTTATTTCTCAGTGAGTATTGTTTTCAGATTCAGTCGGCACACACGTACTGAGTGCCTGTTAGGTGCGAGCCGGTGCTTGACCCCGATGGGGCCGCGAGGAAGGAGTCCTCCGTGGGTTTCAGCGGCATTGCCAGGGGATGCCACACGGTGTCTATGGGGCCAAGCTCTCCCGGGAACCTTCCTACTAGGCAGGTTATAAAAAAGGCAAAAACCAAACCAGTTTCCTTTTCAAATTAATGGGGTTCCCGCTCCTCCCCAGACTCGGTTCCTCATTTCTGTGCTTGCCTTCCGTTCCCTTCTTCCCACTGCTCTTCGGCCTCTGGGGGGCCCCTCCGCCTCCCCCCGGCCTCTGGTGGGGTCAGTCGGCTCCCAGCAGGAGAACGGGCCTCCTCCAGCTCCTTTCGATGTCCCACCCGGGACCGAGACGCTGGTCTGTGCCCGGGTGTGAGCCGGCCGCACACTCTCCCCGGGCGAATGGCTTCCTGGCCCCGGCATTCCAGCCGCCTCCAGAGGGGACATCAAAAGAGGCCTCGGGTGTTCGTGTCCCGTGGCACCCATCTCCACACTGGCTCTTGGCAATGGCTTCACGATCTCCTTAGCCAGCTTGGTTGTTTTTCTTTCCGTGTTGCCCAGGCTGCTTCTCCACCTCCCAGGTTTGACTAGACAGCCCCACGGTCTTCGTTTCCCTGCAGCCAAGCACACAGCACACTGCATGGGGTGCGGGTGGGGTGCTGCCCAGGCTCTGCCAGACTCCCCTCAGCACCCAGGAGCTTTCCTCCCCCCGGCTCCCTTCATTCAGGCCTCACCACCACCACCACCCCCACCACCCCCACCACCACCACCACCACCACCACTGCCTCCCTCGGGGACCTTTCCTGCTGCCCAGCCTGGAGGTGGGCCAGAGCGGGCTCTTCCTCAGCCCCAGACCTGCCGAGGAGACAGGAGCCCACAGCGGGAGGTGTGTCTGTGCAGCCGGAGCCGGAGCCGGCAGCACGGCTGGCTGAGTGGGTGCTGATGGCGGACGCGCCGTGTGCGGAATAGCAATGATGTTCATAGCAGGGAAAAGGAAATAACGTTTTCATTTCAGAGGGGAACGCCCCCCCCCCCCGGGTTGGGAGAAGGCCCCACTTGAGAGGCTGGAAGATTGGAGGTGGGATTGAGGGGCAGGTGTGGAGGAGAGGTCTTGACCTCTGACACCGGAGCACCCTGGGGTTAGGATGGGGAGGGGGCACTCGTGGGGGTAACCAGCCTAAAACTGCTGACCTTTGTCCTACTCCAGGCAGACGACGAGAGGAACTACCACATCTTCTACCAGCTCTGTGCGGCGGCCAGCCTCCCGGAACTGAAGGAGCTAGCCCTGAGTGAGTGCACGTCGCTGCCCTGGTGGTGGTGGTGGGGGCTGCGCTGCAGGTGCATGCACCTTCAGTTGCCTCCACGTAGGCCTGGGACACACCTCACAGGAGGTGCTCTGAAAGGCGAGCCTACAGGGAAATGAGACCTGGTGCTTTCACCAAGCCTTTGGCTCGCTCGCTCTGTGCCAGAGCCCTCGGCGCGGTGAGACGTGAGGGGGCTGAGCATGTCCCTGCACAGAGGCCTGAAGTGACTTCCTCCATAGGCTCTCCCTTTGCTGAGCCTGTGGTGAGTTCAGGGTCCACGTTTTCCTCTCCCGTTGGAGCGTCTCCAGGCACCAGCGTGGGAGCGGCTCCTCCAGGGAGCCCTCCTTCCTAGCTGCGCCTGGCTTAGGCGCTCGTTCCTGGGCAGAGGTGTCGCCTGATGCTTCCGGCTCAGGCTGTGTGAGGCGGGGGCTGGGGACTGAGCTGTTTGCTTCCTAGCTGGGCCTGGCACCGTGGGCCTGACCAGCGGAGGCACTGGCAAAGCTCGGTGGCGTGGAGCACGGGGTACAAGGTGGGAAATGGGGAGCGACCAGGAGGCAGAGGTGAGCAGGGCCATTTAAGGGGCAGACGGGGGAGCTGAGGAATGACAGCAGGACGCTGGGACGGAGAGGTGGGGAAGGACAGGCCTGAGTGTGGGGCAGGGGAGGCCACTTCATGAAGAAAGGCCCAGCAGGCTCTTCGAGGGCCTTTGACCTCTGCCGTGAGGGCAGCAGGAGGGGTCTCTACGTGCCTTAACGGAGAGCCGGGGGAGCGAGTTACTGGCTGTTCCAGGGACGAGGCAGAAGCGGGAGACTGGCTAAGCTTTTGCAGCAGGCCTCAGCCAGCAGGCGCTGAAGGTCGGACCCAGTCAGGGTGGAGGAAGGAGGGAGACTCAGAAGTGGGTGGGTAGGAGGTCAAACTGCAAAGTCAGGTGTTGAGGAAGGACTGGGGCATCTAGGCATGTTCCACTGATGCGTGTTCCACGGCACATGCTCAGAGGAGGAGGAAAACCAGCCGATGTCGACATCAGACATTATACACGTGGAGATACTAAGTCCCGGGCAGGGTTGTACCACCCGAAGGTGCTACATAGTATGTGGGAAATGTGAGTGCTTTTCGGGTGGTTTTGATCATGTGTGTTTGTGGCCTTAAATGCTAGCTTCCCGGCCCCGCGGTGCAAATGCTCCCCCCGGGCGGTGGCTGTTTCTCCCTCTGCCAAGGCGGGCTCTGAACTCTAGGACCGGGCCTGGCCCTCACCTGCTGCCCCCAGCTGCCCCCAAGGCTGGACTGAAGAGGAATGAAACGGGGGGATGAGAGCAAACAGCGAGGGTCCCAACCTTGTCCATGTGCCCAGTGGCTCAGGGGTGCTCCAACTTAGTAAAACAAACGAACCAAAGATGCAAGTCCCCTTGGGCACATCGCTGCTCCTCCTTTATCAGAGAGATGCTCAGGCGAAGGTCGTTGAAGGTCATGGGAGCCGGGGATTCCAGGTGGGTGCACATCTTACCTGCCTGTGTGGGTTAGGCCCCTTTTAGAAACAAGTCTGGGGCAAATTCTGCTCCATAGTGAATGGCCCTGCCTCGCTCATCTTGTCTGTCCGTTCCCCTGATCGCCACAGAACCGCTTTACACAAACATGATACCTCATCCTGGCTGTGAGTGTCTTTGTCTATGTTCCCTTATTTAAGTTTTCTCTCCACTTGCCATTGTCAGGTCAGGTAATGTGGGAGAGGGTTCCCCGTGGACTGGGCATGTCACCGGGTCTGGGGTGGCTTACTGAGGGAGCAGGACTCCCCACACATCACCGTCTGCGGGTAAACTGGGGGTGAAGCTCTCCTCCCTCGGCGCTCCCCCCCGTGTCTGATGCCTCGCTCCTTCCTGCCACAGCCTGTGCCGAGGACTTTTTCTACACGTCCCAGGGAGGAGACACGTCCATCGAGGGCGTGGACGACGCGGAGGACTTTGAAAAGACTCGACAAGCCTTCACGCTCCTTGGTAAGGAGCTTGGGGGGCGGGGGGAGGCCGGCAGGGTTCCTTTCATGGGGAGGAGAAAAGCATGGCCACGTCCGCCTGGCTTGTCCACCCTCGTCAGCGGACGGGGAGGCCTCTTGTCCTTGGTGAGTCTCTCCTCGCTCTTCTCCCGCCCCAGCTCTCAGGTGTCCACGCTTCTTGTTGACCTGTCCTCAGAGTGGGAACTTGAGGGGGCACCGCTCTCTGGGCTAAATGAGCAAAGGTTTCCATCCTGGCAGGACACGTGTTTACTCCCACGAACATAGGTGTCACTGACTTATTTTTAGTCTGATAAACGATTGCCTTAAAATTAACTGCAGCTGGGGAGGAATATGTGGGAACAACTGTATTATTTCCTCAACGGCGTGGTAGGTTGACTGGTGTTCATTGCGTTATTCCGTAACTTTTATTTTGCTTCTGAAATATTTTGCAATTTAAGGAGATAGGAGAATGCCTGACAGCGAAGTGAACATTGTAAGAGGTTATCCATGTCTTTGGCAACTTAGTCGCGTACACAAATGTGACACGGCGTTCGCTGCCACAGTGGCTCGGGGAAGGCGTGCGTGCCTGTCCCTGCGAGGGAGCATATGGCGTGGGGAGCAGCAGCGGCTCCCTGGCCGCCCAGCCGTCACGGCTCTCCCGGGCGTTTCTCCTCCCCCTCCCCCGTCGGCACTTTGGGTGGGTGCCACAGATGTTTGCAGGAGATTGTGTTGGGAGGAAAATGAAGGCAGATAAACGACCATTCTTATTAAACTCATCACGACACCCATGAAGCGTGTGGTGGAAATCTAAGTCCAAAATGAGCCTGCAGATTGCTGCCCCTCCTTTGCTCCTGGAGACGGGAAGACGGTGCCGTGACCCCTCTGGTCTGATCAGGGCGGTCAGAGCGGAGGCACGCCCGTTCAGTCGGGGAGCCCGGTGCGCTCGGAGCTGTGCTGTGAGTGGCAATTACTTGGTGGGGAGCTGGAATCGTTTTAGGAGTCACTGGCCCAGAAAGGCAAATCAAACCTTGAAAATAAAAACACGAAAAGGCCCGTAAAAAGGTGAAATGCCCTTTCTGTCCTGCTGTGGAGATGGAGTGTCATTTGTTCTCTTTCCCCAGGAGTGAGAGAGTCCCACCAGATAAGCATTTTTAAGATAATCGCTTCCATCCTGCACCTGGGAAACGTGGAGATTCAGGCCGAGCGCCAGGATGACTCCTGTAGCGTATCGGTAAGTCGCATGCCAGCGCGGAGGCAGATGTCCGCAGCTCGCCCTGTTCTCGCGGTTCCGCACGACCGAGACGCGTCTGTGCGTTTAGAGGGCGCGCGTAGGTTATTTATTCTTCCCAGAAATGGTTTCTGGTCCCTTGCTGATAGTGTTTTGAAAGAACAAATCCTTTTCCAAATCAGCTGCCATCAAATGTCTGTCACGGAGGGCAGGGGATGTAGTGGCTATTCAGCACATTTAATTGACTTTTGAGAGAGGGAGAGAGAGCTAGACAGACAGGCATTGGGTTGGTGCCTTCACTGGTGGATTCTTATATGTGCCCTGACCGGGGAGTGTACCCACCACCTTGGCGTTTGGGGACAGCACTCTAACCGACCGAGCCCATGGGCTGGGCCTCAATATTTTTGATGGTTTGGTTTGCAAGTGCCCTGAGGTCTCCGGAATGCTACCCATGTGATCAGCCCACGAGTGCGAGGAGCTCCCGCCTGAGGACCACTCTGGAAGGCTGTGAAGGCGTGTTAGGCTCCATGCTCAGTGACCGTCTGCAAGGAGCTTCACAAGCTGATTGGGGGGATAGGACAGCTGACCACACTTGCCGAGATCCTGAGAGCAGGGGCGGGATATTGAGACATCCATGTAATGGCATCGCACACTGCAAGGCGCTTGGTACATGCTCGCGATGACTGTTACTTTCCTGGTGCCCAGCGTGCTACCCGATGTGCGGCCATAAAAACATGTTTACTTGGGCCACTGGTGGATTGGGTGCCGGAGCAGAACGGACAGCCCTGTGCCGTGCTCACAGGTGTCTCGTTGGGCTGTGCTGACAAGACCGATGTCCTGCCGTGACTCAGTGACTCCGCGTGGGGCCATCACAGGCCTCTTCTAGGCCCAGTTGTTGCCAAGTCCTGGGAGGTGCCAAGTGTGAGGAGGGGGCAGGACCCCCGACAGATAGAGGTCTGGGTACCACGTGGCACAGCAGGCCCTTGCCCTTGGAGGTACCTGCAAGTCGGAGGCTTCTGAGCGCAGGCCCACGGTCTGGCGCGTCTTGGATTATTCTCCAACTAGAGGCCATGGAGAGAACTAATTGAGCTGGGACCTGGGAGTCAAGACTGCCAGGGTTCAAATCCTGGATCTGACTCTTTAAGACAATTATTTTTGTATTTTTACTTTTTAAGGCCTAATATATTATCTTTTAATTACAGTTTATAAATATCTGAAGAGCATTTCCCTTTATTTCCTCCCGGAGTGATCTTTGAGCTGCATTTAGAAACTGTTGCTTCTTGTATCCTGACTCTTACTGATTGTTCCTTAACCTTCCTGGTCTCTTCCTCGTCTGCAGAGGGGGTGATGCACCTGCCTTACCACGGGGCCCACAGTTCAGTTCTTAACGACCATCATCATGTGGTTAGAGCCAGAGGGGACCCCAGGGGCATCCTCCTCACTTCACAGGCCCAGAGGGAGGACACTCCTTTCTAAGGTCACAAAGCCAAGCCCAGGTCCAGCCAGCGAACTTCCCCTGCACACTGCCCGTCCCTGGGCCCCGGCCGCCCTCCCCTGGCCTCACGGCCCCCGCTGGTGCCTGGCACAGTGCTGGGCACGCAGTGTGTGCCGGAGAAACGCCTCACCAAGAGGATGCAGGGAGGGTCCCCTTTCAGATGCGTTGTGGTCTATTCCGCGGGGTCGGGGGTGGGCCTCCCAGGGAAACGCTGCCATCCGTGTGCAGTGTGACTTCTGCTCGCTGGCTTTCATCTTTAATTACAGCAGGAACCGTGGTCCTCGACCACCAGAGCTGCCTGGGAGATGCAGCCGCGTGCAGTGACTTGGACGCCAGAGGCGATTTGCTTTTTTGAATTTGGCCACACGGGCCCAAAAACCTAATCTGTGATCTGTGCTGCTGGCTCTGGTTAATGGATTTAGCATCATTTAATTAAGCCTAAATGTAATTGCATGATGTTACATCAGCTTCAGTTAGCACCTTTAATCAACAGTCAGCAGAGGGTCACGCAGGGGGAGCCACACCCCCTGCGGTGGGTGGGAACCTGTCCATCCTGTCCCAGGTGATGCTCGGCACTTTCTCCACTGCGTGCACCTGGGAGCTGCCGGGGAGGGGAGGAACCTGAGGGCAGGCGTGGGCGGCCACGTGGCTGCAGCAGGCCGTCTGCATGTCGGATCCAGCTGCCATGCTGTGCCCGACAGTGAAGAATTTCTTGGAAATAGGTCCGATGAGTAAGTCGGACACTTGCCCCCTTGGAACCTGTTGCCTGCCAGGCAGCCCCCAGGCACCTCCCTTTGCCACAGATGGCTTTCTGTTTGGGGGAGGGAGCGAGCAGATGGGGGATCCGTGCAGAGTGGCCATGGCAACCCCACTTGCTGAGTGAGTGAAAAGACGGGGCTCTCCACACCCACCAGCCCACAACGATTCTCGTTCCGGGCTACATCTGAGAAAGGAGGAGGACTGGGTTAGAATGACCATTCCCAAGGTGTTTTCCTGGGAACCTTAATCCTAGCCAGTGGTCGGCAAACTCATTAGTCAACAGAGCCAAATATCAACAGGACAACGATTGAAATTTCTTTTGAGAGCCAAATTTTTTAAACTTAAACTATATAGGTAGGTACATTGTTAGTAACTTAATTAGGGTACTCCTAAGGCTTAGGAAGAGCCACACTCAAGGGGCCAAAGAGCCGCATGTGGCTCGTGACCACATGTGGTTGGCAAACTGTGGCTCGAGAGCCACATGCAGCTCTTTGTACCTACCTATATACCTATATACCTATATACAGTGTACCTACCTATAAAGTTTAAGTTTTAAAAAACTGGCTCTCAAAAGAAATTTCAATCGTTGTACTGTTGATATTTGGCTCTGTTGGCTAATGAGTATGCCCACCACTGGCTCTAGGCCAGTGATGGCGAACCTTTTGAGCTCGGCATGTCAGCATTTTGAAAAACCCTAACTTAACTCTGGTGCCGTGTCACATATAGAAATTTTTTGATCTTTGCAACCATAGCAAAACAGAGACTTATATTTTTGATATTTATTTTATATGTTTAAATGCCATTTAACAAAGAAAAATCAACCCAAAAAATGAGTTCACGTGTCACCTCTGACACGTGTCAGAGGTTCGCCATCACTGCTCTAGGCCATTTCGTGGGAAAGCGAGGGCTCTTTGGGTTCTAAGCGTCCAGGAAGTGCGTGGTGCAGGGTCTGCCTCTTGGTGCTTACAGGCTAACAAACCAGCACAGCTGTGTTTGACCTGATTCACCCACCCTCCCCTTTTATTAAAAGCCAGTTAACTATTGTAACTGCTGCTCCACAGAACATGCTTTGGGCCTTAATGACTTGGGGAGGTTCTCTCTTCCTCTGGCATTCTGTTGCTTTGTAATTGTGTTTGTTCCGCTTAGATTTTAAATATTCCTAGGAGAAACAGCACAACCTGGGGATGGAGTGTTGAGAGGGAAGTGGTAGCCCTCATGCAGAGCCTGCTAGGCCGCCTCGTCCGAAAAGGAGTCCCACCAGCAATGCAGGGCCATTAGGAGGCGGCCGGCATGTTCTCACGGCTGCCCTTTCAAGGCTGGGTGGTCACTTCCCGTGTGGAGTGAGGTGGGGGATGAATAATGGAGCACCTCGGAGGAAAAGCGGGGTTTCCGGGGGTCCCTGAGTACCCAAGAAACAGCACCTTGGGTGAAATGAGACAAGCCCCTGTGGGACATCTGGTTTCAGTGACTCAGGCCAGTGGTGTGGTTGGGGCTGGGGGAAGGGAGGGTCGGGATGAAGTGCAGCCAACGGAGCAGCTGGGTTCTCTGGGTCGCGGGCCCCTGGGTGAGACCTTGCACGGCTGCAGGGCTGGGCTTCTCGGGGTGGGGGGTGGGGAGAGGGACTTAGGCTGGAGGAAGTCCTGTTTTCCCAGCTCTCAGCTTGTGACGTCAGCAGGTCGCGTTCCTGGTGATTTTTCAGGTCAAAACCAGTCCCATACTTTGCTATTTGTCCAGCTTCCCGCCTGGATTCACTTACCCCCCGAGCTTTAAGACTGTAAAGTTCAGTGGCATGTGGTTTAGTGGTCCTGGCGCTATGATGAGAGAACATCTGCTTGGGAGACCGGACAGGTGCCGTCCGTGTAGGCTCGGCTCAGGGCTCGCTGCTGGCACGGGGCTGAGACTCGTGCCGGTCCCGCCCAGAGCCTCGCTGGTCAGTGCGGATTCTTTCTGGCTGAGGGCAGGCCCTGCACATGGAGCTCTGCAGGTGGCACGGCCTCCACTGGGTCCTGCTGGCCCCCAGCTCCTCACTCCTAATGGTTTACCCGCTCCCTGCAGTCCCTCTGCAGCCAGCTGGCGGTGGAGGAGGGGACAGGAAAGGGGGAGAGTTTTGTTGGCTTACGCCCTGATCATTTGGTCAGTGGCAGGGGTCATGATCAGCTGGAATGACACTCTTCGGGCCCTAGCTGTCCTCTCCACTTAGCCGAGTGTTGGTGAGACTGGAGCGCTGGGGCCCATGTCCCCTGGGCAGCGGGGAGAGGGCACGCAGGGGTGCTTGTCCGCCACGCTCCCCCCAGAACCCCATCCCTGCCCTGACCCCACCCCTGTGCATCTTCCAGCCGCAGGACGAGCACCTCAGCGCCTTCTGCCGCCTGCTGGGGGTGGAGCACAGCCAGATGGAGCACTGGCTGTGCCACCGCAAGCTGGTCACCACGGCGGAGACCTACGTCAAGACCATGTCCCTGCAGCAGGTGGTCAACGCCCGCAACGCGCTGGCCAAGCACATCTACGCGCAGCTGTTCGGCTGGATCGTGGAGCAGGTCAACAAGGCGCTGCACACCGCCCTCAAGCAGCACTCCTTCATCGGCGTCCTAGACATCTACGGGTGGGTGCCCGCCCCTGCCCTGGCCTCCCGGGGGCTGGGTGTCTTCCTGCTTCAGAGCTGCTGGCCTGGAGACCCCCAGGCAGTTCTCAATGGGGGAGTGTGAAGTGGGGGGTGGCGTTTCTGGTTGTCACGGTGACTGGGGTGGCCCGAGGCCAGGGCGCTAGGTGTCCCACAGTATGGAGGACAGTCCCGAGGGGGAGCAGACCCTGTCCTAACACCAGTAGCTCCCCCACTGGGAACCCTGTAGATACGTTTCTACAACCAGGAAACAGCCAGAGGGGAAAGTGTCTCACCCAACTCAGCCTGGAAGTTACTGTGAACTTAAATCCAGGTTTCGTGTCTTCAGTTTATTTCATTTACATCTACCACCCGACTTCCTTCCCCAGGTCACCAGTCCCGGGAGTCATGTTGATGCCATGATCTTGCCCAGCACCGGGCAGGTCTGGGCTGTGTGTTCGTTCTGGGAGGTTTCTCTTCCCATCAGAATTCTAACCGGCGGGAAGGGCCGTTGTTACTCACAGCAGCCTGTTCTGCAGGGAGAGGCACAGCAGACATGTGGCGAGGCCGGGGGAGACGCGTGGATTCCTTGCTGCCACAGCTCCCTGGGTGACTGCAGATCACAGCCCGTCTGCGCTGTAGTCCTCGTAGCGTGGCATGAAGTTTTGAGCCAGTCTGAGGTTCTTTCTGGTCCCCGTGGAATTGTGGGAAGGGAGATGTGCTGGGTCACACCCCCCATACACCCCGTGCACTTCTATGATCCGGGCCCTGCCCCCTCTGAGCTACTAACAGAGAAAGTCCTCGGGGGTCTTCACATCGCAGGAGCCACGGCTTCTGTCTTAACATAGAAACTCGGACCCACAGAGCGGAGCAGCGTGAGGACAGCGATGCTCTCGTGGAAACGGCTGCTCGGGGGCTGATCGGCCAGACCCCCCTGACGCTGAGGCCGTAGTGAAGGAGCGTCTCCTCTAAAAGTGACCACTTCCCCGCCCGCCCGGCCCTCGTGGCGCCTCCTCTACTCTGTCCCTCCTTGGGCTTCACATCCAGCCTCGCCGCGTGCAGTGGAGGTGACGGCAGAAGGACGCGGCTTTCTGGCGTCGCAGGGGCCTGTGCACAGGCCACGCCACACAGGCGGCCGCAAGAGAAGCTGTGCCGGGCGGCCGAGGTCCAGGCACTGAGCGCTGGATGAGCTGTGAGGCAGGAGAGAGCACGCTGGTGGGCACGGCCAGGAAAGCTTTGTGGGAGGGGAGGTTTGACCTGGATCTTGTGAAAGCATGGAGGGGCGGGGAGACTAGGAATAGGAGCACAGTCAAAGCAGCAGGAGAAAGTGTGAGAGGAGACCTCCCGGGGATGGGGAGTCGCCAGCGTGGGAAGCAGGAGGTGCGTCCTCCTCGGGGCTTCGGGCTCTCCCCTGCGCGACCCTGGGCAGGTCCCTGCTCCCGCTCAGCGGAGTGCCTGCCCTTGTGTGCAGCCCCCTGGTGGCTCCGGGACAGCACGCACGGCCTGTGCCCCGGGAGACCCGCTGCCAGACTGGCAGTAATTAGTTCTGCTCCGTTCCCTCTGCCACGAGCATCTTCAGGTTAATTGGATTTCCCCAAACACTGACCTTTGGGGTACATTCTGCAGTAGGCCCCAGAGAAAGGGCTGCAGCAATCCCTTCATCTACCTGGGCAGGTTCTCATTTTACTGAGCTTTCGATTGGGGAAGATTATCATGCAGACTCATTAGATGTAAAAATAGCTTTTTAAAAAATTTTCATTGATTCCAGAGAGGGCAGGAGAGGGAGAGAGAGATAGAAACATCAGTGATGAGAGAGAATCACCAATCGGCTGCCTCCTGCACGCCCCCTACTGGGAATCGAGCGTGCAACCTGGGCCTATGCCCTTGACCGGAATCGAACCCGGGACCCTTCAGTCCGCAGGCCGAGGCTCTATCCACTGAGCCAAACTGGCCAGGGTGAAATATCTTGGCTTCAGTGCTCCTGATGTGCAAAGTCTGAAAGGCCAGTTCTGTTCTGGTCACACACATCCCAGCTGGCCCTCGAGGCTGATGGACAGCGTCCCCTCTCCGGGACCCCCAAGAAGAGGCGGGCTTGTGGTTGAGGGGCCTCTGGGAGTGGGGCTCATCCCATGCAGCTGGGTTTCATGCTTGCATTTGCCTGTTAGTTTTTACAGCCGAGTTCCTTTTCTCTAAGGCCTGTTGCTGCCCGAAGGGGAGAAGCAGGTGGCAGGGGGCTTGTGTGTGGTCTCACAGGTGGACTCGTCCTTGGGGAGGGTGGGGACCCTGAGGATGCCGCCTCCTGTTTCCAGTGCTGACCCCTGACCTGTGCATCTCCCTCGTCCGAGAGCGGCCTGGGTTCCTTTGGGGACACCTGACAGCTGTGCTGGGGGCCCAGCTGCATGGGGCCACCTGCCAGCCCTCTTGGGAATTCTCCTACCCTTCGGCCTCCTTCCAGACGTGCCATGCTGTTTTCTTTTCTCCTTTCTACATCCCTGTTCCTTCTCAGAAGCTAATTGACGTTGTCAAACCGTGTCATAAAGAAGTGGCATATTGAAAAGGGATTGGCTCTCTCTCTCTCAGGCCAGAAATGAGCAAAGACAGAGCGGAGCTGCTGCCCTCCCCACAGGCAGGCACTGGCCGCGTCCACAGACCACGCCTGTCCCCGGATGAACTGCAGCCCTGTCTGTGGCGTTGTTGGCCCTGCAGTCAAGCCTGCTCTGCAGACAGCTGGAGAGAGCTTGGCCGGGCAGATGAGCCACTCCAGGTCTTTCTACAAATGCTTAACCGGCTACTATAGAATCGGCAGCCGGAGTGAATAAACACTCCCGTCTGTACACACGTAAGCCAACGGTGCACGGGCCAGCATCGTCACCCGCACGCCCCGCGCTGTGCTGTTCTAGCCGGCAGTTAGGTCAGATGGTAGAAAAGGCTCTGAACGCTGAATACAGTGCATGGGCCACAGCTGCCCCCACCACCCTCTGAGGAACCCCCGGCGAGAGGCCCTTCCCCCAGGTGCTCCCCAGCATTTATTTCCAGACACCCAGTGCCCAGTAGAAGGCGGCTTCCCTGCACCTCGCTCCCCTGCCCCGGCTCCAAAACAGTGCAGAGCAAGCGGCACCCTCAGCAATTTAGCCGACCCAAGCCGAGGTCCCTCCTTAGCGGAGGGTCCATGATGCTGCTGCAGGGGATTCCTGACCAGGCAGGGGGTGGAGATGAACAGGAAGGCGCCAGGCAGCTGGCTGGGTCCCCTCTTCATGTCGCATTAGCCAGCGCTTGCCTCTACAGGCCTGATTAATTGCAGCCATAATCCTTCATTGCTCTCACTCCTCAAGGCAACAAGAAAGAAATGGCTTCAATTTGGGGAAAAAATACACATTTATTTGTCTTTGACCTGAGCCTTCAACATGCCATGGTAGCGGGGGCTTTGGCTGTGCCCAGCCTGTTCTGGGCGAGGACTTGGCCGAGGAGACTTGGAGCAAGGCAGGGTACAGACTCCTGCCTGACACTGAGGTGGGGGCAGGGGGCGGAGCGGGGAGAGGGATGCGTGGGCCCCAGGAAGCAGGAAGTGGGGCTGGCTGGGATCTCATAGCCCTCTCCGCCCTCCTGTGCCTTTCTGTGCCTCGTGCAGTATTTCCTAACTTTAAAATTAGCATCCAGTCCTCTTCATTCAGTGCTTTTGAATGATGTGTTTTTAATTTTTTTAATTGTGCTTAAAAAAAAACCCTTTA